CATTCCCAGCACATTCCCAGTGCATTCCCAGCACATTCCCAGCACATTCCCAGTGCATTCCCAGTGCATTCCCAGCACATTCCCAGCGCATTCCCAGTGCATTCCCAGTGCATTCCCAGCACATTCCCAGTGCATTCCCAGTGCATTCCCAGTGCATTCCCAGCACATTCCCAGCCCCCGGGCCCCAGGCCAGCCCCAGCCCCCCTTACCCCAGCAGGGAGTCATCCCCCAGCACAGTCGATCCCTCCATCAGACACTGTGCCAGCGTTGTCAGTGGCAGCTTCTTCTGCAAAGAGATGGGCTGCGCTCCCACCTGGATCCCCCTGGATCCCCAGATCCCCCAGATCCCTGGATCGTGGAGCCCCCGGCCCCACCGCTCTCACCGAGCGCTTGTCGGCGTCCAGGCCCTGCTGGCCCTGCAGACAGGCAGTCAGCTTCTTGTGGGTGCTGTGGGACACCTGCTTCACCAGCTCCAGCCGCTTCTCCACCTGTGGGAGCGACACAGCCCATCACCAGGGATCTGTCATCTCCAGGGATCCCATCATCTCCAGGGATCCCATCACCAGAGATTCCATCATCTCCAGGGATCCCATCACCCATCACTAGGGATCCCACCATCTCCAGGGATCCCATCATCTCCAGGGATCCCATCACCAGGGATCCTACCATCTCCAGAGATCCAATCATCTCCAGGGATCCCATCACCAGGGATCCCACCATCTCCAGGGATCCCATCACCAGGGATTCCACCATCTCCAGGGATCCAATAATCTCCAGGGATCCCACCATCTCCAGAGATCCAATCATCTCCAGGGATCCCATCATCTCCAGGGATCCCATCACCAGGGATCCCATCATCTCCAGGGATCCCATCACCCATCACCAGGGATCCCATCATCACCCAGGATCTCATCACTGCGGGATCACCGTTCCCCACAGATCCCATCACCTGGGACCGCTGATGGATGCAGGCCCCACAGGAAGTGCCCAGGCACCCATGGACACCCTGGGATTGCTCCGAGGGAACCTCACCTGCAGCAGATCTTCGCTCAGCACCTCAGTCTTCTCGGCTCTGCAAGACAAGAAAGGAGAGGAACCATTGGTGAAGAGGGTGGGACACGCAGCAGTGCCCCGTGCACACCACAGAGCCCTGGATGGGCTTTTCCATCAGGATGCAGGGGGGCTTTAAGGATCTCTGCTCCCACCAGCCATCACCTCATCTCCTAAAGAAGGAACAGATGGAGCACCTCCATGGCTCACACCAATCCAGAGCCTGCCTCTCATCTCTCCCTTATTTTTCCATTACTCCCAGGAAAACAGGGATGTGAGATTCCCAGAAGGAGCTGGGCAGGCTGGAGAGAGGCGCCATGTCTGCACAGGTGAGGCTCCCTGGGCTCCGTGCCCTCTCCAGATCCCAAGGACAGCGCATCCACATGGCTGAGCCTCCTCACACGGGGACAGCCATGGGATGGGAGGTGGCAGCTGCTGCCCAGGCCTCTCCAGAGCCCTTCCTGCTGCTTGCTGGAGACAGATTTACCACTCCAGAGCCCGTGGCAGCCGCTGCCTTCCTGAGGGAGAAATGCTGGCATGGAGACACAAACCCACCATCCTCAGCCCGTGGACCCGCAGCATTCAGAGCCCCTGCACCACAGCTGCTCAGGCTCATTTAAACCATCACATCTGGATCATTTATTCCTTTTCCCAGGGTTTTTAACAACTTCAGTGCATCCTTTCAGTTGGAAAAACGAGCTCTGTCAGTTTGAGCTGGGACAGAGCTGTGATTCAGCCAATTGGTCCCTAAAGATTTGTCAGGGGACAACGAGGGCTTGCTGCTGTCATGCTGAAAACACCTTTATTTCCTGAACCAGGTCCCTTCCTGCCATCCAAGCTGGATTCTCAGATTGGAGAGAGGGAGGGAAGTGTTAGAACAGCAGAAATAAGGAGCAATCACAGAGAAAGATTCAGGCAGTGAGTGCAGCACAGGAGTGGCTCATGCACAAGCACATCTCACCCAAAGCCTTGCAGAAAGAGCAAATCACAGAATCATGGAATGGGTTGGGTTAGAAGGGCCCTTAAATCCCACCTAGTGCCACCCCAGCCATGGCAAGGGACACCTTCCCCTGGTGTCACTGGCTCCAGCCCCAGTGTCCAGCCTGGCCTTGGGCACTGCCAAGGATCCAGGGGCAGCCCCAGCTGCTCTGGGCACCCTGTGCCAGCCCTCCCCAAACCAACTGCACTAAATCTGCTTTGGGCATGAAAAATGTCCCAGCATTTAAGGTGGTTTAAAAATAATTTTTAAACAAATGAATTAAACAAACCCTGTTTATTTTAATTTTAAAAATTGGTCATTGAAATAGATTAGAACCTCTCTAAGGAGCACTGCCCACCTGGGAGCTGAGCAGCTTCTCCTCCTCCTCTGGTAATCATCTTCACTCTCATTTAGACAGGATTGGAAGTGACACAGAATTAGCACAAACAGGGAAAAAAGCAGCAAATATCCACAGGCACAGCCACAACGTCCGTCCCTGGCTCGGGATATTTTTAGCATCTTGAAGGAGTGGGAGGTGGCAGGGAGTGAGGCACTGCTGGCACATCCCTGCTGCTCACTCCCCAGGAATCACTTCCTCACTTGAACAGAAAAAGGGATTTTTTTTTCTGTGTTTTCTCCTCTCCCAGCCAGGAGATGGGATTTGCACATCCCAGGTCCCATGGGCAGGTCTCTCTCCCAGCAGCCACATCCCAACCCGTGCTATGCTCTGAGGTGTGTTTGGGAAGCAGAAAACCACATTTCAAAGAGAATAACAAAAATCTGGCCTCGATGTTTTAAAGCACATCCTCAGTGAGAGCAACCCCCGTGGTTTCACCAGAGAGCATCCCCCTGTGCCAGCCCTGTGCATCCCAGGGTGTTCCCATGGGCTGGGGAGCCTGCCAGGGAGGAATTTGGCTTGAAAAAGGGGGAACAGCTAGGCTGCAGCATTTTATGGATCGGGATAAGCAAAGGGGCTGCTCCAAGAAGTCCCACTTGAAGACAGGTGATGGTCCCTGTGCTTACCAAGAGAGGGGTGCAGGGACACCCCAATTTCCCTGTGTGGTCCCTAAGTCCCCAGAACTTCATTCCATATGAGCTTCACGCATCCCGAGGGAGCATCCCTTGGAGAGGCAGCCAGCATTCCCAGCTCCCAATGCTTTTCCTCTTCCCTTTTGGCAAATAAAATCCTGCTCCCCCCCCTCCCCTCCAGATTTCCACCCCGAGCCGTTTTTCCCAGCACAAACCCGGGCCCTGCTCAGGCAGCAGCCGGACTCCATCCCTGCAGGCAGCTGGAAAAGGGACGATGACCACGGAGAGCTAAAGCCAACGAGTGGGGGTGCAACCATGGCACGCTCGGATTTTTGCTGCTGCACAAGTTCATTGCTGCCAGCAGAAATCAACACCAATCAAGCAAATCATGTTGACTCCCAAATAAACACATGAGTTTCCAAAGCCTTGACCTGGGGAGGTGCAGCAGAGCCGGTGCTTCCCTGGAGCATCTGCCAGTGCTAGCCCCTCTGCCTGGCTGGACCATCCATCACTGTCCCCCTCTGGTGCTCCGGCCACCCACAACAGGGAGCTGCCAGCCTTGGATTTGACCCTGAGCCAGCAAAACTCCGAGCACAGCAAGGATTTCATGGCAATTTATCTCTGAATGTGAAAGCATCAGGCGCAGTGTGGAGACAGCAGGAGCAGGGATGCTTCTCCAGAGGTACAGCATGTCCATGGTACCCCAAAAATCCCCTCACCCCCATCTCCTGCCCAAACACCCCTTTGACCCCAGCCCCAGCCACTCTTCGCTGCAGCCTGCCCATAAATATTTAATCACTATTTAATTACCAACACTGATTCCCCGATTTCTCCTTGCTCCAGCCTAAAAATAGTTCCATGGCTGGAAGAGAGGCACAAACACCCAGCCAAGGCTGTACTGTTCCCGCAGCACTGATTCCCAAGGGTGGGGATGTCCCACATCCCACACGGACACGGGGACAGTGCCCGGCTCCATCCTGGTCCTGTCACATCTCCCTCTGGTGCCTGGGAGAAAATTCCAGGCGCTCGAGCTCCCAAAGCCCAGAGGGGAGGTTAGGGAATGAGGTTTATCCGCAGCCCCCAGGTAAAGCATCGTCTGAGTTTGCCAGAGGGAGGAGAAGCCCCTCAGTGTCCCCCACAGCCCTGGAAGCGCTGGGCTCCGTAATCCAGGCTGGATTCTGATCCAAGGCCACGCTGTCCCCACCTTCTGCCGCCACCTGAGCACTCCCGGCCACCTCCTCCCTGGGGACACGGGTCCCGGCGGCTCAAACCCGGCTCCCGCCGAACCCCAGCGGAGCCGCGGATTTTTCCCGGTGCCTTTTTAGCAGGCAAGAAGCAAATCATCAAATATTGATATCCTCAAATCGCTGCTCAGCTCCCCCGGGAAATGACTCCGACTGCAACATCCAGCGCGACGCGGGGACACGGCCCCGCCGGAGCCTCCTCCGGCGCGTCCCCGGCGCGTCCTGCCCGCGGGTGACACAAGCGACAGCCCGGCTGCCCGCGGCTGCGGAGCCGGGCTGGAGCAGCAGGAGCAATAGGCAGGGAGGGCTGGAGCAGCTTCCAACCATCCTGCCCACAGCTGGGAAAACCGAATGAAGCAAAGCAAAATGGGAGACAGAGTCTGCAAGGCAGAACAGCCGCTCGTCCTCATCTCCTGCCCCTTCCTGGCAAGGCGAGCTCTGTGCAGGCATCCCTTTGGCACGGGATGCTCGGGGCCCTCTGCTCCTGGAGCTTCCTTCCCCATCCCGACCACGCTTCCATCTCCATTTAGAAACCGTGGAGAAGCCCCTGCAGGGTGCAGAGCCCCGAGGCTGCTGGAGCAGGGACAAAACCCTCAGCCCGCTCCATGAATATTCCAGGTTGTCAGCGCTGCCTCTTTGCGAGGAGGATAAAAATATCCCCGGGGCTGCCGGGATCTGCCGGCTCCAGAACCGAAATCCCAGGAGGTTCTGCTGACAGCGAGTCACCGGCACCCTGAAGCGCAGATGGGGAACCCAGCTATTTACAGGGTGTTGTTCCCTCCTGCAAATCCCATTGGGAAAATCCCAGGCAGTGCTTTTATTTCCCTCTGCCCTTATTTCGTGCAAGCAGAAGAAAATGTCCTTCTCTCTTGCTGGATATTCCTGCACCACCAGGAATAAACCCTCGGTGTTTAAAGGCTTTGTCTGGATGTGTGGCTGTCCTGGGGCTTGGAAAAGCATCTTCCCGAGAGCCACTGAGGGGACATCCAGCCCCAAATGGCACCACTGCCCCTGGGATGGGGGTCACAGCGTGGGATTCTCAGAAAGGCTGAGAAGGAAAAATCCAACCCCTCCGAGCTTCTGCCACCATTCCTGCTGTCCTCCATCCCCCTGTGCCGCTGGGGAACCCAGCGTGTCACTGCACGTGGCTGCAAGTGCCTGGCTTAATCCCCATGGGAAAAAAATCCCTACGGAGCCCATCCTGGGAAATTCCCAGCGCTGCTGGGGCCGCTGGAGTGACAGAGGTGACACCCTGGTGCCACTGTGCCACTGCCTGGAGCCAGGCGGGACCTCCTGATGATACGGACAAACACAAATAAGAACAAAGACACTTTGCAGGAAACCTCCTCAGGATGTTCTACAGCCACTCCTTGGTTTCTCTTCCCCTTTTCTACCCCATGGAGATAAATATTATTGCTCCTCATGGACTGGCACAGGAATTCTTCCCAAGGCTGGGTACCAAGTGTGGCTCTGGGCTGGGCTGAGCATCCCCAGTTCTTTCTGTCAAGTGAAACGACAAAAAAAAACCCCAAACAAACTAAACTGAACTAAACTGAACTAAACTGAACTAAACTGAACTAAACTGAACTAAACTGAATTAAAATAAAATAAACCACATGCTCAGGGTCCAGCAGAGGTTCCAACTTTCCACTCCAGCTCCTGTGGGAGCTGCTGCTCTCCCAGGGAACGGGCTCTGTGCTGGCTCCCAGCATCCAAGCGGAGCCGGGAAGGTCCTGGTGATGGCAGCCGGGACACAAAGCTCCAGGCTGGATTTGGAAAGGGCACAGTCACTTCCTCACCTGACCCTGACCTTGATTCCACCCTCCCCCAATAATTCCCTGGTTCTGATCCTTATCCTGAACCGATCCTGGCCTTAACCTTGACCTTAACCCTAAGCCTGAGCCTAAGCCTTACCTTAACCCTAACTACCCCAGCCCTGCCCCTGACCTTAGCCCTGGCCCCAATCCTGGCCCAAGCCCTGAGTCTCCTGCTCACCTCAGTCCCTGTGTGTCCCCCTCTCAGGAACAAAGGGCTGTTCCTGCCTGTCCCCTCTGGCTCCTGCTGACCCATGGAGGAGTTTCTCTTCAGTCCCCTCTCTCCTTCCCTTTTTTATGGAAACCTCTCCACCTAAAGCAGGAACAGCCACCAGGGGCTGGGACACCTTTCTGCACACCCTGCAGGGGGGCCTGAGCAGATGTCCCTGCTGTCCCCACTGTCCTGGAATGAAGCAATACCCCCAAGAGACAGCCCCCATGTCAGCACAGCCCTCAGCCCGGGACAGGATCCATCCCGGTGACCCCCAATCCCAGACTCAAGGCGCTGGTGCTGCAGGGGGTCCCTGCTGGGGTTTGGTGACAAGGAGGAGGGGACACCCCTCAGACCCCCAAAGATTGTGGTGCTTGTCCCCCTGTGAGCCTCTTGCAGGGAGACAAAACACCAGGGTTCTACTTTTATTCCTTATTTCCATTAATTATTCCTTATTTCCATTAATTATACCTCAGTTCCGTTAATCATCCCTTGTTTCTGTGTATTATTCCACATTTCCATGTATTATTTCCCACTTCCTTTTATTTTTCCGTTTTCATCTGTTATTCCTTACTTCCCCCTATTATTCCCTATTTTCATCTATTATTCCTTAATCCTATCCATTAGTCCTGATTCTGGCTGTCTGGAGAGGACTGTTCAGGACTCCACAGTGGGAAAAGGGAAAAGCACCTTGAGGTGGGCGCCAGCAGAGCCGGGATGAGAACAAGGATGCTCTGCAAGATCCAGCCAAGCCCTGAGGATGCTCTGGGTGCCCCATCCCAGGGAAGAGGGGCAGCATCCCACCGCTGGCCCTGGGTACCTCCAGAGCCTCCCAGCTCATGCCCAGCACATCCCCTAAGAGGATTAGTAGGGGGTTATCCGAGCCCCCGGCCCCATTCCCAGGAGAATGCGGGATGTGGGAAGGAGGGTGCTCCTGGCCCTGGCAGAGGCACCATTTTGGAGCCAGGGATGGGAGCAGTGCCCGGCTCACGTCTCCCATGCCGTGCAGGGAACCAAGGGACAGCCCCCCGTGCAACCCCCATTCCCAGAGGGTGGGAATGTGTCCAACCCCCTGGGAGGGTCCGGAGTGGGAACCTGGCCCGGCGCAAACGCCACGGGAAAATCTCACCTTCTGTCCCCAGAGCAGCCCCCTTCCCACACCCCTCTGCCGCTCCCCCGCGGGAGGCACTGCCGGGCTCCCGGCGCTCCTGCACCACATTCCCACAGCCCGATCCCAGCGCCACATTCCCGGTGCCACGGCCCCACAGCACGCTCCTGCACCGTGTCCCGCACATTCCCGGTGCCACGCTCCTGTTCCAGGACCCCACACTGCACTCTGGCACCACTCGCACCCCGTGCTCACCACACACCGCATTCCCACTCCACATTCCCACCCCGCGCTCCCGCACGGCTCCTGTGCCGATTCCCACGGCAAAGCCCCGGAGCCGCGTTCCCTGCCCACGCTCCCGCAGCTGCCCAGCATTCCCGCATCCATCCCAGCCCGTGCCCGCCCGAGCCAGCAGGACGCGCCCCCGGCGCCGTGGGGAACACGGGGGGACACGGGGGGTGCCAGCAGGAGCCCTGGGGATGCCGAGAGGATGCGGAGCCGCTCCAGCTGTGCCAGTGCCCCAGCACCGCGACGGGAAGGGAAAAGAAATAAATCCTCTTTCCCCCCCCCCGCTGCAAAATCTCCAGGAATTACACAACAGCCACCATCAAACCCAGGCCTGGCCGTGTCGGCACACACGGCATTCCCGTGGGCATTCCCGTGGGCACAGCTCCGGCTCCAGAGCCACACGGCCAGCAGGGCCACCCAGGGGTGCTGCGGGAACTGGGGGCAGTGGGGCACCCCACAGCATGGGGCTGGGGAGCCCAGAGAGTGTCCCCGCAGCCCTGGGACAGAGGGGATGGGCAGGACAGAGGGACAGGCAGGGGGCAGTGGGTAAAGGGGCAGGGAGCTGGGCAGGGCAGGTGTACGGGGACAGGCAGGGGTTAACTGGCAGGGGAGCAGGCAGGGAATGAGCAAGGAGGACGTAAGGGGTGGGTATGGGGGCAGTGGGGCAGTCAGAGAACGGGGAGAGGGGCAGGGACAGGGGCACAGTGAGGACAGAGGGTGTCAGGGTTCAGGCAGGGAGCAGGGCAAGGGGCACACAGGGAGGAGGAAGGCTGTAGGGTAGGCAGGGAGCAGGCAGGGAGTGGGATTAGGGCCAGTGGGGCAAGCGGGGCTCAGGCAAGGAAGCAGGCACGGAGCAGGAGCAGTGGGGCAGGCAGGAGGTGGCAGTGGCACACGTGCAGCGTCAGGGCACTGGGGCAGGAAGGGAGGAGGGGCAGGCAGGGAGGGGGCAGGGAGCGGGAAGAGTGTGAGATGAGGGCAGCGAGGCTGCCAGAGCGCAGGCAGCGAATAGGGGCAGTAGGGCAGGCAGGGAGTGGGCAGGATCAGGGCAGTGGGGCAGGCAGGACAAGGGTAGGGGGCAGGACCAGGGCAGGGGGGCAGGCAGGACACATGGCATTGGGGCGCTGGGGCCGGCAGGGAGCGGGCAGGGAGCTGGGAACGGGCAGGTGAGGGTGCGGCGGGGCGGGCGGGAGCAGGCAGGGTGCGGGATGGGTGCTGTGGGCAGGGCTGGGCTGGGCAGGGTCCGTCCCCACCCTCATCCCATCCCATCCCCATCCCATCCCATCCCATCCCATCCCATCCCATCCCATCCCATCCCATCCCATCCCATCCAATCCCATCCCATCCCATCCCTACCTGCCCACGGTCTGGTTGGCGAGCTGGCGCATGCGGTTGAATTGCTTCTTCATCGTGGCGGCGGTGCGGGCGGTGCGGGCGGTGCGGGCGG